AGAGTAAACGACTTTTTTCCACCAAAATAATGGTTTAATGACACTTTCCCATCTACAGGTTTATAAAATACCACTTTACTATCAAAATTTATATTTTGTTTCCGATTCTGACATCGTTGCAATCTCATATCACCACCATTCTCTTCCTCGATCATCACTCACTAAAATCCCTCAAACCCTACTCCCGTTGACCCTGCCAATCATCGATAATCGACTGGTTAGGGTTTTCACAGCCGCACCTCCGAAGTAAAATTCCGATCAATCCCAACCACCAAAATTTTACCTTCCACCACTAAAACACTCATCGGCCTCCCATCTTTAAAAGCCCCAACAACCTAGACCAAGTTTGTTCTATGTTGTTCGCCAGAATAAATTTGGATAATAAAGTGATATTTTAAAAGTCTGTGAATGGGAAAATGTCATTAATCCATTATTTGAGTGGGAAAAAGTCCTTAACTCAACAATTAACTATGACCTTGTATAAAAATAACTTGTAGTCCTTGGATCATAATTCAAAAGTTGATCATAGAGAGCCATGGGAATAAATAAACTTAAAAGCTAGATATACTAAAAGAAAGAGAAGCTGAGAAAGAGTATGTACCTGTGAGAAGTGAGAACTGGTAGCAGCCAATTAACTAGCATCAAAACGAGAAAATGCAGCCCTGAGTTTGAGACAGCCCACAGTTGGCATTGTATACAAAGTAAAGAAGAATGAATAAATTAACCTCAAGAAACGCGGTTTCTTGTGTGGAATTCAACTAATAATCATTAAATATATCATCGGACAAGTTGGCCGAAGCTGGGAAATTTCCCTCTCGAGTAAACAACTTTTTCACACCCAACTCTTTCCAACGCAAAAAGTTTCAAAATACCACTTTCTCACTCAATGTTAATATTTTGTTACTATCCAAAGCCGACTTCAACAGCAAAAATTCTCTTCATCACCACCATTTGAATCTCTAGTCTTCTCTCTACAAAACCTCTCTCACTCTGACACATGATTTCTCACTAATTGTCGGCCATCACAAATCTAGGGTTTCCTATTCTTAGCTAATTCCGGCGGCTAATATTCAATCGGTCACTACCATTCGATCCACCGGTCTCTACTCTACAAAACCTCTCTTACCCTGGTTCCTGGTAGCACGCTGAACGCCGGCTGAGAAATTAAAATGTATTTTGGATATTAATGGAATATAAACTTCGGATGAAAAAGTGGTATTTTGAAACTTTTTGGACAAGTATTTTGGATATTAATGGAATATAAACTTCGGATGAAAAAGTGGTATTTTGAAACTTTTTGGACAAGAAAGTGTCATTAAGGCAAACCTTGGGTGGGAAAAAGTCGTTTACTCTTCCCTCAATATAAGACTAGCTAGCTAGGCTGACGAAATATTTATATCACTTCACAAATGAATAAGTCGTTAAAAAATTCACCATTCCTTTTCTCATTTATATAGTTTTTAAATCCACCAGCGTATTACCCTAGGAAAGACTGATCCAGACCTTTCTTCTCTTTCCACAAAGAAAAAGAAACTAAACACAGCCATGTATTTTAATGAGTTGGCTAAATCATGATGATAAGCTTGCTGATGTAAAACTGCCCTGTCTTTACACCAATTTGGAATTTATTCCCTTGGATTCATTTCGGGGTCCAAAAGATAAAGTCCGCATATATTTCATCTAATCAGGTCGGATAAGAGAGCGGTTATGTATACGTATATTAATAGTTCTCAAGGAGTAAAACAAGTGATAACGACTTTTTCCCCCAAATAATAGCTTAATGATATTTTCTCACCTATAAATTTTTAAAATACTATTTTACCATATTTCGATGGTAAATAGAGAGCAAATTCGGTTCAGGTTGGTGGGGCTTTTGAAGAGGGAAGGCCAATAAATCTTTTGGTATTGGAATGTTGGATTTTGGTGATTAGGATTGATCGGGATTTGACTTGGGAGGGTCAGCTATGCAAACCCTAATTGCTCGATTGCTGGCGATTGGTGGAGTCGACGAGAGTAGGGTTTTAGGGGTTTTTGTGAGTGATGATTGAGGAAGATAGTAGTAGTGGTGTAGGGTCGCAACGATGTCGGAATTGGAAACGGAATATAAATTTGGATAGAAAAGTGATATTTAAAAGTCTGTGCATGAGAAAGTGTCATTAAGCTATTATTTGGGTGAGAAAAAGTTGTTTACTCATTAAAACAATATTGCAAAAATACATAGATTTTGAACATCTTATAACATTTTTAGATATAGATTTTTTAACATGGGTTGTATCCTTGTTATTAATATCAACTATTAACCAATCTAACTTCACTTGAATGGACATCACTAATCACCCGAATGGTTGGGAAACATTTTGAAATTAGAGATAAATTTGGTGGAAGCATTATAAATTAATATGTGCCTGCAACAAGTTCTTCAACGGGACTCGTCGATTCCTTGTACTTGCAAAAAAAATGACAGGAATTCAGAACTTCCCTGTAACTGTTGTATTTCTTCATCTAGTTATTATATTTCCCACAGCCATCAGTCCGGAGGCTTCAGAATCCACAGGGTTTACCCTTAGGGTCATCCCAGCTGACTCCCCGGAGTCCCCAATTTATCATGGCCGACCCAGATTTTCACAATCGACAGAGCTGGAGAGGCTTGAGTTTGATCAAATAGCTTGTCAATAAAACCTGAAGCAGAACAAATATAGAAAACAGAAAGGAGCTGTTATGGAAGTCCTGCCGATCAACCATGACATATTCAAAGTGATAAGACTAGTTCGTCAATTAGCTGAACCAATCACTGAAATGAGCAAGCTTTACTGACTGTGAAATTTCCATTTTTTTTTTTTCCCCTCAAATTCTACATCAACTCTTCACAACATTACATTTGGCACGTTAAACAAATAAGCATCAGTTTATATATATTAAAAAAAAATAAGCCCAAACCAACCATGCATTCTTGACTTGTCTCATGATTGACTGAGAAGACATCCATACTTGTAAGAAACTATATATATGTGTTCATGTTCTTTCATTTTGCTTCACATTTTATATGCAACTGTGAGCTGCAGAGCTTTCATATCAAACTATCTAGTCTTGCTCAAAGGTACACATCCTCTTCAATTATCAGTTTTTATTTCTTATTATGTCTATCTGCACGTGAATTTGCTTTCATTAATTGTTGCCTTTCATTAATTTGCTAATATTAATCTTCCTTCCAAATTGTTTTTGAGAATGGTGGCAATTTTATAGTTGATTTTCAGGCTTAAAACAAAGTAAATTTCCAGAAGATGAAAATACTGGTGATCTGGTGAATGCTCAGTAAGCACAATGACCCACTTCTTTTGGTCCTGTAGTTTCATAAATTCTGCTGGAGATTTTAGGATCTTATATATAAATTCCAATTGCAGAGCTTTCTTAGCTGCTTAATCTGAGCAAGTTAAACTTACATTTTTTATTTTCACATGAGACAACGATCCTGGTCTGACTTCAATCTTTACTGACATTAAAGTACAACCATTTTAATTTGAAGGATGTGCACCTTTCTAACTAGATGATTAATGGATTCAATAACATAAAGTTTATCACGTTCTAACGTGAAGAAAAGAGAATACTTGCTATACAAACTTTCATGTCAAGAAATGAATCTATATATATATATATATATATATATATAAGAATCTGTACATAGCAGTTACAGTAAAATTTTCCATCAGTTAGGGAAAAAGTGTACGTGGGAATAATTTGACAGAGCACAAAAATTGGCAGTTAAATAAAACTGAATCTGAAACTGATTTTATGTAACCAGAGAGGTTGATTCTTGGATGTATGGAAGTCTTGCATATCTGTCAACTTTGAATAAACTAGTAAATGTAGTCTATATTTCAAAGTCATGGAAATTGCAAAGTTGGCTCCATGAAATTTCTGCCAAGTGGGCTAACAGTATGTTAGATTAAATGTAGTCTACATATATGGTAGTGACTGAATGGACTTGATTCATGTTTGACTCGGAAGACTTCCTTACTTCTTTGAATCCGCGTTTCTGATTAGATACGAATGTGTTCATTCATTCTGCTTTACTTTTCATGTGTAACTGTCAGCTGCAGAGCTTTCTCTCACACGATCAAGTCCTGCTCAAGGGTTAATATCCTTTTCTATCTGCATGTGAATATGCTTCAGTTAGTTGTTGTCCAGCCAATATTAATCTTCCTTCCAAATTGCTTTTGCTTCATTCAAAACTGGTGCCAATCTTATGGACTTTCTGGCTTCTTCTGTTTCTGTATGTTCATTAATGCTGCTTGAGATTTTATACATTAATAAGTTTGTTGAAGCATTGATAATTTGCTGGAAAATTCAGTTAAGTTAGTTTGTTTTTGAATTAGTTTCTTGGGGCCAAGTAGCAGTTGCATTCCCTTGTTTCCTGCTGAAACTGAAGCTGCTGGAGTTGTTCTGGAGTTGTTAATTTTGTGTCATGTTTAGGTGTAATCAGTGTAAGATAAGTGTGCATTAAGTTACCAACTTTGTTTTTGAAATTTAAAGTCTGAATGGTTGTTGTAGTTGGTAAAACAGTAAGCCTTGTTGTGTATATATTGCAAGTTACAGTGTAATGAAATACAGCAGTTCACTTTCTGCATTTTTTCTCCTTTTCTTTCTTAGAGTTCTCCGGCCAAATACCAACAAAGTTCCAATTGCAGATCTCTCTCTCAAACTCAAGCCTTGCTCAACGTTCTATCGATCTTGATTATTGAATTAGCCATCGACAGGTACATCATCAATTGCATATAATAGTTGGCATGTATGACATATATTGATTTACAGTTTTCGTCACCTGAGACATTGATTATAGTCTGACTGAGATCTTGACTGACATGAAGTACAACACCTTATAAAACTAAATTCCTAGTTGTACATATTATGTATCAATTTTTTCTTTCCCTTTTTTGTTCTTAATATACTTCAGCAGAAACCAGAAAAAGTGAAAACATTTGATGACTTTGTAGATAGGTTCGATGACGACAAAGGAGGGTCGGGTTAATATACTGAAGAATGGCGAAACTTTACTAAGAGAGTTGATTACCTTGTTTAATGGTAAACGAAATCCAATTCGTAATTTCTCTGCTAAAGAACTCAAGACAGCAACAAGCAACTACGACATGGGAAATGTTATTATAATTGATGATTCCTATAGACTATACAAAGGTTTCCGGAAGGATGGCCCTATTTCTGTTATGAAGTATGAAGACAATACAAGCATCGAACAAGCAAATAAAGAGTCTATTAATTGCATTGTATTCGCCTCACAAATGGGTCATAAAAATATTTTGAAGTTGATCGGATGTTGCTTAGAGACTCAAACTCCCATTCTAGTCTTTGAATATGTACAGCATTACACTTATGCTAACCTTATTTACCGACCTCTTGAACCCCAGTTTAAGCCTTTACCATTGACACATAGATTAAAGATTGCAATGGAGGTGGCTAATGCAGTTGCATATCTCCACTTTGGATTTTCTCGGCCCATTGTTTCTAGAACGTACAAACCAGGCTACATTGTATTCAATGATCAACATGTTGCTAAAATGTTTGATTTCTCGTGGTCTGTGTCTATTCCAGAAGGTGAAACTCACATTGAAATCGCAGTGCAAGGGCTATTGGAATATATTGCACCTGAGTACTTAAAAAAAGGTATATTAAATGAAAAAACTGATGTTTATGGTTTTGGTTGTTTTCTGATCGAGCTCTTGACTGGAAACGGAATATCTAATATTCTTCAAGCTGAACCAGACTATGACCTTATATTAGAGAAGATTATGAAGAAATGTATTGAAGATGGGTATAATAAGATGGTAGATCCCACGATTCTTGGAGAGGAACCTTATTCTGGAAAGGACCTGCAATTGCAAGCTGCTACACAGCTTGCTGTCAAATGTGTCTCTGAATCTGCAGAAGAAAGGCCAACAATGATTGATGCCGCAAAACAGCTCAGGCAAATGTATCGCCTCTCCTAGTTATCATAGTTCAGAAAAGTGATTAACAATTTCCGTATATGCTTCTATGTAATTTTTCAAGATGTACACCTTTCTGTTATATTGATCTTGCCCATATGTTAAAACTCTCTGAACTCATCTATTTTACTCTTAAATCCATCTATGAAACGCTTTCAGTACTCATGATTAACTGGGGAACGTATTAGGCAAAAAATTGAGAACAGAAAAGCACATAAAAACTGATCCTTCATACAAAATCTGCACACATTGACATGATGTTCACCAAAACACAATACTCGGTACAAGACTTTTGCTTTAACAACTTAAGGTGACCATCATGGCCTGGTATAAGTTTCTGTATCTGGTAGTTATTCGTTGCCATCTTGAGCCCTTCAATGGAGAAACTTCTAATTTGATTTTGTTTACCATTAGACGAGGTAATCAACTTCTCTAATAAAATTGCGCCATTCCTTAAGAATGGTTTGTCATCTACCTTTTTCTTATTCTTTCTTCTGCTGAATAACCAATTCATTCTAACCTGTTCATAATTCCATGAAATACTTTTTCACCTTTACAACTATGGAACAAGTGAAGCATATGTAAATTAAAAAAAAAAAAATTGTAAATATTGTCATTGCTCATAAGAAAATACTGAGAAAAAAGGATGTTAATTAAATTACCTGCGGATGGCCGACCCTTTCACAATCGACGGAGCTGGAGAGGCATGAGTTTGATCAGATAACTTGTCGATCAAATCTGAAGCAGAACAAATATATAAAACAGAGAGGTGGATTTTTTAATATAGTAGAGGTGGTATGGAAGTCCTGCCGATCAACCATGACATATTCAAAGTGATAAAAGTAGTTGGTTAACAACCAAGCGTTGAAATGAGCAAGCTTTACAAGACTTAAAGACTATGAAATTTCAATTTTTTTCTGAAATTCTAAGTCAAGTCTTGACACATTTAGCACGTTAAACAAATAAACATCCGTTTATAAAAAACAATTGTGATACTATATATATATATATATATATATCATATATATATTAGAATAATATATCTATCATATATATAATAGATTTAGGTATACGAGTTATTCAATCCCACATTGGAGGCTACTTAATCCCAAGGCCACGGAATACCCTACAAATCCAATAGACCAAGATAATTGCATAAATGTGGTAGATACATTTACTGTGACTCGAACACAATACCTTATGGGTATAACTAACTTCAGTGGCTAAAGAGTTTACCATCCTATCACAAGAGGAGAGGTATTGTGATACTATATTAAATATTTCAGAAGTTGAATTTGTCCCATATCACTAAGTTGGTAAGCTGTTGTGCACATATATGTGGTTGGACTCCTTTCTCTTTTGAACTAGCTTTTGGGAGTGAGTTCTACTGTTTTATGCAACAGTTTGAGGTTCTGCCTTATTCAATTATTGCAAAAGTCTCCTTAAATAAATGAATGAGGTTAAATCAATAGAGGAAAAACAAACTAAACTATACAAATTTTTGAGTGGGGTCAGCTACCCCCACTCATTTGTATATGGGTCCTTATTACAACTCTACCTCTCTCTTCTAACCCCATTATTAAGGAGCCACATAAATGAATTATGTTAAAACAATTTTGGGTATGTTATGCCTGAAAAAGTAGGCTGACGCCGAGCCTTGTCAGCATCAGCAGTCAGAACTTAGGTAAAATTCTGCAACCATTCAGACGTAGCCACATTGCATGCTGACGTGAGCGACATGTTCCTGCCAGTGCAGTGGGTGTGCTCCAGATTGGCGAAAGGCTAGAAATGATCCGCGTGTCCAATCCCTGCACAAGTTGAGGAAATCACTCGAATAGGTGAGTAACGGGACACAAAAAAGGATTTGCACGACAATCTGACCCACTCATGGATTCAGTAATCATTACATTAATTCATCTCACTATAAATAGATGACTCCCCTCCCGTTTGTGGGATTAGCTAATTTTACTCTAGAATAGCATTCTCTCTCTCTCTCTTTCTTGCTCTTGTATTCACTTGTACTCTCAAAAGATATAAATCAGCTTGCTAGCCGCGACCTGATCTTGCATACATATTAATACAATATCAGTGGACGTATGATTCGCTTGTTTAAGCTTCCGAACCACTTTAAATATTGTTCTTCATCCCTAACTCAACCCATTATCCCAATATACACGTGTGTCTTCTGAGTTAGCTCAGTATTTCTCACGTGCGATTAGTTGGTGTCAAAATCAAGGATCAATAGGGTAGTTGTCAAACAGTCAATCCATGATAAATAATTTCAAAGTAGGGCCAGTTCTTATTTATATGTACAGTCTCAAAAACAGCCAAACCAGGGATGAGTGAAGCCCAAACCAACCATTCTTGATTTGTCTCATGGTTGACTAAGAAGACTTCCATACTTCTAAGAAACTGTATGTACGTTCATGTTCTTTCATTTTGCTTCACATTTTATATGCAACTGTGAGCTGCAGAGCTTTCTATATCAAACTATCTACTCTTGCTCAAAGGTACATATCTCCTTCAATTATAGTTTTTATTTCTTAATATGTCTATCTGCACGTGAATTTGCTTTCATTATTTGTTGTCTTTCATTAATTTGCTAATATTAATCTTCCTTCCAAATTGTTTTTGAGAATGGTGGCAATTTTATAGTTGACTTTCAGGCTTGAAACAAAGTAAATTTCCAGAAGATGAAAATATTGATGATCTGGTAAATGATCAGAAAGCACAACAACCTACTTCTTTTGGTCCTGTCATTTCATAATTCTGCTGGAGATTTTAACATCTGATAAATAAATTCCAATTTCAGATCTTTCTTAGCTGCTTAACCTGAGCAAATTAAATTTATATGTGTGATTGGATCAATCCAAATCAAGATAATGAAAACTCGTAGGGGCAACTTGGTGTTTGAGGAAATTTCTACAACTGACCCTTACATATAAATTCTGAAGCAAAATGAATGAATATATATAACCAGAATCAAGGATAGTTTCTTAAATGAATGGAGGTCTTATTTGCAGCGATGAAATTACATGGAAGTTGAGAAATTTTTTGATCAACAGTACAAAATTAACACAATTTTCCTGGACAATTAGTCATTATATTGTTAATTCACAAACACATTTAAGAATAAGCTCTGTAAAAAATCCCAAGGGATTGGCTTGCCGATTGGTTGGTGGTCTAGGAGGTTTGCTCACTTTCTTGAGTTATTGGGTTCAAACCTTGGGCCACCTGCCATAAATGTTGTCTCCTCAGGTTCCTTCTCTGAATGCATGAATTTTCTCAAGTATGAACTCATAGGATCGACCCACCAAATCCCGAAATGCTTTGAATATATATTCTTAAAGGTTGGCTCTCATCTGTAAACGTCTAAACGATAACCAATGTGGTTTGGAGTTATATAGAGCAAGACATCATAAAGAAAAAGAGTGTCACTGATCATTACTAATTTACTTATGTTCATATTACATTAAGATTACAACTTCTACATTGGGAAATGAAGACCTGAAATACCAACAACATATATAGAGGCGCCATCCTCAACAAGACATATTTAATTTGTAGCAGATCGATAAATTTGCCTGAGATGCTTTGCCACATCAATCATCGTTGGCCTTTCTTCTGGTGTGTTTAGACATTTAAAGATAAGATCTATAAAAGCCTGCAACTGTTGCTCTTTCCAGGGATATGATCCCTCTCCGGCAATAATAGGATCTACTATCTCATTAAATGTATTGTTGTCAACATGTTTCTTCACGTAGGTAGCCCAAAAATATCCAACTGTAATATCATCTCCAATGTGGTTAACCATACAGTCTATTAACATTGTAAAATGTTCATCTTCTCCCAAGAGATGACGGGTTTTCTGTCCAGTGAAAAGCTCAAGTAGTACTACACCAAAACTATAAACATCGTACTTTTTGTCACATTCATTTGTATAAAAGTACTCTGGTGCTATGTAATCCACTGTCCCAATTAGGGGATCATTTTTTATGTGGGTTTCACCTTCTGGAATAGGAGCTGATAATGAAAAATTATAGAGTTTGGAAGCATAATGTTCATCTAACAAGATATTTGATGGCTTGATGTCTCTAAAAACAATTGGTCTGAGGAGTCCAAAGTGAATATATGCCACTGCATTAGCGATTTCCATTGCAATCTTCAACCTATGCCTCCATAGTAAAGGCTCAGAATTGAGTTCATGACGGCGGTGAATATGATCATCAAGAGAGTAATTTTCTACCCATTCAAAAACTAGAATGGGAGTTTCAGTCTCCAAGCAGCATCCGATGAACTTCAAAACATTTTTGTGGCTTATTTTTGATGCAAATACAATGTTGTTAAAGCAAAAGTCTTGTACCGAGTATTGTGTTTGAGGCTCTACATACTTCATACAAAAAATAGGGCGATCTAGGAAGCCTTTGTAAAACTTAAGGTGACCTCACATGACCTGGTATAAGTTTATGTATCTGGTAGTTATTGATAGTTTGCATGCAAACGAAAGAGAAAAACAGAAAACGAAAGAGAAAACCAGGTCTACATAATGCTCTGTTTTTATTCAAAAAACAAGGGTAAAAATATACACGCCAACGCCACTGTTTCAACTAATTACATTTCAAAATTCAAATTTAAATTAACTCCACTGCTAAAACACGTACAGCAAGTGAGAAACAACACTAACAAACCTAAAACAACCAATCATGTCAATGAATCAACCAACACAGTGACCAAAATAAAAACTGCTTCTGCATGAATTTAGGGAATCAACAGACTTCAGCTGCAGTTCAAAAAAAATTGCCACCTTCTGCTTCCAGCATGATATCACCTTTAACAACCTTCCTTGATATCATTGCTGGAACACCAAGTCTGAACTGAAGAATATCAAACTTGGCTTGGACAATGGGTAGTCAGAATATCAGCGACCTGTTCTCTCCCCGGCAGTGTATCAACTCAACTTCATGATTGCACAGCTTCCCTTACTGCATGGTACTTTATCTTGATATGCTTTGTACGGCCATGATTAACTGGATTTTTGGCCATAGAAACTGTAGACAGATTGTCACAGAAAATTACAGTAGGCTGTTTCTGGTTTGGTTAAGATCATTCAAAATCTTCCTAAGCCAAATGGCTGGTTCCCACGCAGCAGCAGCAGAAATGTATTCAGCTTCTGCTGTTGATTGAGCTACCGTTGTTGCTTTGGACAGCCAACACACAGCACAGAATTTAAGAAAAATCATACGGATGACTCTTCATGTCATCTATGATCCAGCCCAGTCACTGTCCGAATATGCCAGAAGCTAAAAACTTTCAGATTTCCTGAACCACACACCAAGTCCAGGATTACCTTTAATATATTGAGCACCCTCTTAGCTGCCCTGAAGTGAGATTTCACTTGGATTAGTCATAAACCTGGAGAGGAGACTTGTAGATACATTAAGTCAGGCCTGGTTGCTGTTAGGTACAGCAAGCAGCATATTAAGCTTCGTACAAACTCTCATCCACCTGACAGCCCCGTCTCTTTGCTCAATTTCTAAGTAGCAACCAGAGGTGTATTGACAGGTTGCATTTATCCATGCCAAACGTTAAGAACATCCACAGCATACCTCCTCTGATTGACAAATATCCCACTTGAAGTTTGATTAATTTCCATACCAGAAAGTAAGACATTATCCCGAGATCTGTCATTTCAAACTCACAATTCATTGCTTCCTAAATCATCCACCTTACTTGGATTGCTGCCGATGATGAGAAGGTCAAACATACAGTGAAACAATGATCAATTCACCCTCCAGTTTCTTACATATAATGTATGTTCATTGGGACTTCTCAAGTAACCCAAGCTACTCAAGTATTCATTGATCTGCTGTACAGGCTCTAGGAGCCTGTTTTAAGCCATACAAAGCCTTTCTCAAAAGACACACTTATTCTCCTGGCCTTGAACTTGGTACATCCGGTTGCTCAACATAGATCTCTTCATTGAGCCATCCATTTAAAAACGCCTACTTGACATCCAGTTGGAATATTTTCCAACCGAATTGAGCCGCAAGAGCAAGTAACAACCTAATTGTGTCAAGCCTTGCTACCGGTGCGAATGTATCATGAAAATCAATTCCATATCGTTGAGAAAACCCTTGACAACCAACCTTGCTTTGGCTTATGTACTGAACCATAGGACTAATTTCTTCTTGAAGATCCACTTGACTTGAATCACATTTCTATCCTGGTCAGTCCACAAGCTTCCAGGTCTGATCTTTTTCTATCATTGCCAACTCCTCCTGCATAGCAACTCTCCAAGCTTCAGACTTGCTGCTTCAGAGAGTTAGTTGGTTCAGTATGGCCAAATTACACCTCTCAAAACCTCAGCAATGAACGAGTACCTCTAACCAGGAGCTCTTCTTCTTCAGTTCACTGTTCTTCTTCAGCAGCTTCATCACCAACCACATCAATCTGCCGTGGACTTTTCTTTATCAACTTTGTTCTTCCCAATTCAAACACCTTTCTCATCAACCCTTATATCTCTAGTGACATGTATCTTTTTGGTTTCTGGATTATACACTCTACAAGCCTGGAATTATTACTATATCCAATGAAAATGCCTATAGTTGCTTGTCATCCAGCTTCTTCCTCTTGGCTGTTGGAACAATACATAACAGGTGCTGCCAAGACCCTTAAATGATCCACAGCAGGTTTGATCCCATACCAAGCTTCATAGGGAGTTTGGTTGATCAAGGATTTTGTGGGAAGCCTATTCAGTAAATAAACCGCAGTGTTTACAACTTCTGCCCAAAAACTTTTCGACAGTTTCTCAGCCAACATGCATTTCCCATCTCCACAACGGTTTATCCTTCTCCACTTACTCCATTTGTTGTGGAGTATAAGGACTGCGAATTGATGCTTGATTCCTGCCTCTATGCAGATTGTTTCAAACTCTTTTGATGGTACTCGTCCTATTGCTCTCACCATTTTGATACTCAAACCAGTTTGGTTTTCAACCAACTATTTAAACCTTCCAAAAACTCCAGCTACTCATTTTTTTGCTTCAAGAAATACACCCAACACATTCTAGTTTTACATCAATGAACAATACAAAATAACAACTCCCATTCAAGGAAGGTGTTTGCATAGGGCCCATACATCTGTGTGAATGAGTTGGAGTTTTTCTGGAGCTCTCCAAGCTTGGTTCACGGGAAAGGATGGTCTACTTAGCTGTCAGAGACATGCAGACACATGGTGTTTACTTCATCAATTTCGGGCAAGTTTAGAACATTGTTTGGTCTGAGCTTGCTTGAGACCATGAAGTGATAATGGCCAAACGCTTGTGCCATATTTTAGACTCATCTAGCTTAGCACTATGAGCTCTGAATTCTGAATTTTTCCAGTCAATGGGAAAACTTTTTCCCATCATTCTAACTCTCATGAGTTCACTACCTCACTATCTAATATCTTACAAGATTGATCCTGAAAATGTAGGACATATTTCTTTCTAACATTTGTCCTACACTAAGTAACTTTGATTTAATTCAGGAACATAAAGCACATCAGAATCAACTTAGTACTGATTGAGTTTGCAAAGCCACCTCATCTCCTTAACATCCACAAATTCTCCATTCCCTATCTTGACTTTGGACTGAAAAGCCATGTCCAGGCTGGTGAAACTTTGCAAGTTTGGAATCATCTGACTTGTGCACCACTATCAATCAACCAGGTTTCATTGCATGATGAGGTAGACCCGCAAGATGCCACAATAATGCTCAGCTTCCTACCCTTGCTGCAAATCTTCAACCATCTGAGCTTGCTACTGAGGGATTCCCCTTTATTTTTGCAAACTCTCTCTATATGGCCGAATGTTTGCAGGCTCTACACTGAATTCCTGGTCTGAACCAACACCATTTTCTGAGTGTCCTTTTCTTGCAGTGGGAACAGGTGGATACTCTTTTATCCCACCATGTTATTCCACGAGCATTAACTTTCTCTTTCCCTTTCTATCTCCTGCATTTCTTTTATTTCCAGCATGCACAAACTTTCCCTTATGTGTTACAACCATAGCACCTCACCTGCGTCTTCCAACCTTAAAAGCCTCCTTTGTCTTGAGCTTGTAAAGAATGGACCAGCTCAGTTAGAGTTATTTGAGTCAGGTCTTTAGAATCCTCAAGAGAGGAGATTTTAGCCTCAAACCTTTCAGGTAGGCTACTAACACTTTCTCCACATTTTCTATCTGTCAATTCCACCCAAGCAATCTAATTTTATTAACTACACTCATTAATCTATCAACGTACTCCTTACCTTCTCAGTTTCTTGCATTTTCAGCAACTCAAATTCTCTTCTTAGATTCAACATGCATGCCCCTTGTTGTATCACTACTCGTATACTCTTCTCTCAACTTATCCCATGCTTCCTTTGGTGTTTCATACGCCATGCCTTGTGAATACAAGGTCAGTCACTGCTGCATGAATATGAGAAGAGCTCTGGTGCTTTGGCAGCCTCTTCTTCATGCATCCTGATTTGATTCAGGGTGGGATTTGGTCCCAAGGGAGGCAGTTGACGGTTCCTTTCCACGTACTGCACAGACCCTGTCCACGAAGGAATGCCTTCATCTTGACTGCCCACATGAGGTATTGATCGCCATTAAAGACTGGAGGTGTGAGAGAGACTGGAGGTTGTGCCATTGAAACTGAAAAAAATTTTGAGTTTTTTTTTTACGAAGAGAGTGACGAAACTGGGGTTGAAAGTAAGAAGAAAGAAGATTAATTATCAGGCTCTCTAAGATCAATTAAAGCTCTGATACCATTTGATAGTTTTGCATGCAAACGAAAGAGAAAAAACAGAAAACGAAAGAGAAAACCAGGTCTACAATAATGCTCTGTTTTTATTCAAAAACAAGGGTAAAATATACACGCCAACGCCACTGTTTCAATAATTACATTTCAAAATTCAAATTAAATTAGTCCACTGCTAAAACACGTACAAGAAGTGAGAAACAACACTAAACCAAACCTAAAACACCAATCATGTCAAGAATCAACCAACACAGTGACCAAAATAAAAACTGCTTTGCATGAATTTACGGGAGATCAACGACTTCAGCTGCAGTTCAAAAAAAAAATTGCCACCTTTCTGCATTTCTAGCATGAATCACCTTTCAACAGTTATTCGTTGCCCTCTTGAGCTCTTCAATGGAGAAACTTCTAATTGGATTTTGTTTACCATTAGACGAGGTAATCAACTTCTCTAATAAAATTGCGCCATTCCTTAAGAATGGTTTGCCATCTACCTTTTTCTTATCTTTCTTCTGCTGAAAAACCAATTCATTCAACCTGTTCATAATTCCATAAAATACTTTTTCACTTTTACAACTATGGAACAAGTGAAGCATATGTAAATTAAAAAAAAATTGTAAATATTGTCATTGCTCAAAGAAACAACTGAGGATGTTAAATTACCAGCGGATGGCTGGACTTTCACAATCGACGGGCTGGAGAGGCTTGAGTTTGAGCAGATAACTTGTCGATAAAATTGAAGCAGAACAAATATATAAAACAGAGAGGTGATTTTTTATTATGGCAGAGTGGTATGGAAGTCCTGCCGATCAACCATGACATATTCAAAGGGATAAAAGTAGTTGGTTAACAGTTAAAAGATAGATCTCAACCAAGTCACTGTTTGTAAGGAAATTAAAAGATAGATCTCAACCAAGATCACTGTCTAAGTGAAGAAAAGAGAAACATTTGCTATACAGTTAAAGTAAAGTTTACATCAGTCGGTGGGAAAAGTTAATGTACCTGTTAATGCCAATTCATGTGTTGAGATGAAGAAAACTGAGGAAGATGAGATAGTCCAAGATTGACTTACACATAAAAAAGTGAACCTGAAGCTGATTTTATATAACCAGAGAGTGTTTCTGGAAATATAGAAGTCTTACAGTCAACATTTTAAAAAGTCATGGAAATTGCGAGGAAATTTCTGTCGAGGGATTGACTTCACACATGGTTGACTAGAAGGCTTCCACTTCTGATGTAGGCACAGAAAATTCTAATATGATTTTCATAAATACCCTTTCAGACAGTTAAAATAAAATTGTATAATTTAATATTGAAGATGAGTTTGATAAGATAGTGGATCTCATAATTCTTGTAGATGGACCATATTCTAGGAATAAGCGCAAATGCAAGCCCTGCAGAGCTCTGTCTCAGAAGAAGAAAGGCCGACAATGATTGATGTGGCAAAGCAGCTCAGGCAAATGTATAGGTCACTGAAGTAAGATAGTTTAAACTTGCTCTATGTAATTTAAGGATGTACACCTTTCTGTTTATTGATCTTTCCCACATATTATAACTCATACAATATGCAGTAGTTACTAATAACACTTAAACTAGATATCATTAGCAATCTCCATTGCACAATTACCTATCTTTCAATAGTAAAGGCTCAAAATGGGGTTGATGATGACCAAAAAAAACGATCGCAAGAGTACCATTTCTCACAGATTCAGAAACAAGAATGGGAGTTTCAGTCTTTAAGCAATATCCAATCAACTTCAAAAAATTTTTGTGCCGTATTTGTGATGCAATACATGTTGTTAGAACAATACTCATTTGTCCTGTTCGTACAAACTTCATAACAGAGATCAGACGATTCTGCAGGGACATTCTTATGTTGCAATTGTTTGTGCTCTCTTGAGCTCATCAACAGAAACCAGTACTAAATGGATATATCTACTATTAAAAGAAGTAATCAACTTCTGAAAATTAAAACATCTAACCAGTTCATGAATCCTGATACATTAACTTCAGTACTTCTAATAACTAGCTAGGAACATAAAAAAGCACATTAACTATATTTTAACTGGACAATTGATACATTTGCTAAGTTGTTTTGCCACATCAATCATTGTTGGTCTGTCTTCAGCTGATTCACAAACACATTTAAGAATAAGCTTGTCAAGCTTGTAATAGCTTCTCTTTTATAGGACATGATTTGTCTTTAAAAAGGATGGGATCTACTACCTCCACAAACTTATCATCTTCAATGAATTTCACGCATGATTCAATAACCAAATCAGCTCCATTTTGCTGCGCGAAGGACATATACTGTTGTCTTGTCAAAAGCTCAAGAAGTTATAACAAAACTATAAACATCGCATTCTCATTGCAATCACCTGTAATCATGTACTCTGGAGCAATATATCACTGTTGCTGCCACTGCATCATTTATGTGGGTTTCACCTTCTGGAATAGTCACAGAAAGTGAAAAAATCAAACAGTTTGGCAACATAATTTCATTGAGAAAGATTTTGATGGTTGATATTTCAAAACACAATAGGCCTGGGGAATCCAAAATGGAGATATGCAACTGCATTAGTTATCCCCATTGCAATTTGACTTTCTGACAATACTAAGGCTCAAATGGGGTTGATGATAAATAGATCAGCAAGAGTGCCAAACTGCACAGGTTCAAAAACCAGAATTGGAATTCGAGTCTCTAAGCAATCCAATCAACTTCAAACATTTTTGTAGCTACTATCCGTGATGAAAATGCAATGTTATTGAAACAACTTCGCAACCATCCAGAATGTCATTGAACTTCATAATAGAAACTGTGTGGTCTTGAGAACACCTTTATACAATTTATAGACATATCCTCTCTTATAAACTTTCTGTAGGGCATAGTGTTGTTGCATTCTTGAGTCTGTAAGCAGAGAAACCGCAAATAAGATTACATTACCATTACAAGAGGTAATCAACTTTTCCAGCAAAATTTGGCAATTCTCTAAACAATACTGATTCATGTGTTTGCAACTATTTCTTTTCCTCAGGACGAAGTCATCATAACCTGTCTGAAACCCCATAAAATTTAAATGTACAATAAAACTGGCTATAGTTCTAACTGTTTCATGTTTGCAAGGAAATTACGATCTTCTCAACCAAGAAGATCACTTCTGAAAAGGGAAATATGCTAAACACGTATAAGAATTCACACATAGCAGTTACAGTAAAATTTACAACAGCCAGGCTAAAGGTTTATGTACCTGTTAATGGCTAATTCAAGGTAGAGATGAAGAAAACAGAACAATGATTTGAGGAACTCCGCAATTGGCACTTACAATATATATATAAATAAACTGAATCTGAAGCTGATTTTACATGACTAGAACTAGAAAGGTGTTTCTTGGAAGTAAGGAGGTCTTGTATACAGTAACTACATATATTTAATTATTAATGAAGTAAATTTATCAACAGATAGACATACTAAGGAAACGCAAGAGATAAAGAGAAGTACCTGTGTTATGACAAGAATCAACTAAAGAAAATGCTGCGAGGGCCCATTTTGGGACAAAGCTCTTTGCAATTGACATAAATATAAAATTTGAAGCAGTTAAGAATGAACATTATATAACCAGAAGTGTAGTTTCTGATCAGAGTATGGATGCCTTCCTTGTCAACCACCAAATTGTAGCATGTAATCTACATATTCATAAAAAGTTGGGAGAAAAGTTGGCTTCCAGGGATTTCCATATCGATATTGACCCTGTGGCTTAAAGGAGTAAAAACTGGTGGCCTAAAGAAAACAATTACGAGAGTGTGTAAGTATTGCTGAGTGATACTTAGAATATTATATATGGGTAAAGTTAATATATTGACTTAAAGTTTGAAACGAATGTGGAGAGAAGACCCTTGTATAATTCTTATACTTCATATAAGACTTCCTGAAATGTAAGGCCTTTGAAACTGTAAAATTTAAAGTAAAACTGTATCAACACGTGGAAGATCATAACAAATCATTCATAAGATTACATAAAAGTTGAGAAACTATTCCAACACGAATACAAGTTAGGACATAAACAGCAGCAACAGCAACGCTAGATACATTTGCCTTAGTTGTTTAGCCAATCCATCATTGTTGGCCTATCTCTGCATATCTGATACATTTCGAAATAAGTTGTACAAGGTACTGACAATTGCTTTCTTCTACGGATTGATCCATCCCACAATTTCAGGATTTACATCTATCAAACGTCATTCCATTGTCTCACATAATCCGATTTGTGGCTCACATTTTACAACTATGCATCAAGCGATTCATGATCAGTCAAAAGAACTGACAGCTCCAAAATTGCACACAAAGAAACATAAAATAGAAAAGCTAAAACATCATAATAAACAACAATTGCTATCAGGGCAGCAAACCCCATTGTCCCCATCAATAGACCTCTTTAATGTGGGTTTCGTCCTCTGGATTGACTCGCTCACCGAAAATCGAGAGTTGGCAACATATTGTTCATCCAATAAGATATGGAGGTTATATCTCTAAAAACGACTGGCCTGGGGAAGCCAATGTGAAGATTGTATTGCATGGCAATTTGCATAGCTATTTTTAACCATGCTCCAACAACAAAGACCAACCTGGGTTTATGATCAGGGTTGGATAAGATGGTCATTAGAACAAAATCAGATCATTTAACGCTCACACACTACATCAAACGCATCAAACACAAAATTTTTGTGGCGTATTGTGACACAAATACAATGTTGTTGAAACAATATTGGTACCCTCTACTTCCTTCAAACTTCAAGACAAAAACTGGATGATCTGAAGAAAACTTTTGAACAATATGGAATCTGCCATATGTTACAACTTTTGGAAGTCGTAGTTGTTTGTTGCTATCTTGAGCTCACTAGCAAAAAAACCCCTAATTGGATTATTTTCCATTGCAAGAGGTAATCAACATTTCTAAAAAATTTTCCCATTCTAAAAGATTTATGTTGGCTACCTGTCATCATAGTTTCTTCTTCTTTTGAAAATCCAGGCCATCTAAACCTATTCACAAATATGAAAAATAAAAAAATGAAGTTATCCTTTATACAAGAACTTATTATGCACGTTCACTTATCTGGGAAAAGATTGAATTCGACGAAATTCAATAACTCCATTGAAGGAAAAAAGAAAAAAAAAAGAAGTAATATTTTCAGACACTTCTCTTCAAGGGTATAAATAAATCAAGATAGTAAAATGGGTCTATTTCATGAAATTGGTAAGGTAAACCACCGTAGGTGGATCAAGTCATCAAGATATGTAAATTACAAACCCGAGACGGCCAATTCAGGTTTCGCAATAAAGAGAATGTTCTCTAGCTAGGCTTGAGTTTGGAGAGTAATGACTTATAATATGCAAAATCTGAAGCAAAAAGAACAAAACTTGATTACATAGTTTCTTAATAAGAGGTATAGAAGTCTTCCAAAAATGATTTTATTATAGGATGATTACTACATATGAGATTCATAAAAAATAATATCAGTGTCAGGTAAAACTATACGAG